CCGCTGTGTCCTTTGATCATCGGACGGAATCCCGATCAACTGATCACTGATTGGCCAATCAGTGATCACATACAAAGTAGTAAGCAAAATGTCACTTGTGACATCATTGCTTACTACGTGTGAAATCTGTGAATGATCACAGAGGTCACATGGTACAAAGGCTATTCACAACAGCCTTGTACCATGTGACAAGCTGTGACCAATCACAGCTCACACAATATTTCTCAATGGCTGTAAGAATGCAGACAGAGAGAAGGAGAAATGATTGCTTTTACATCCTATATGGGTGTAAAAGCAATCACTGTAAAAAAAAAAAAAAAATCTTCATCACCCCCCCACAAGTAGTACAGTGTCATCATGGTGACACTGTACTTCTAGGGTGACAGTATGTAAAAAAACAAAAAAAAAAAACATAAATAATTATATAAAAAAAAGCTAATTTGTCTTATTTTTTTTTTACTAAAAAGATAAATGAATACATTTCGGCCAAGATTTATGATGAAAGATTATTTATTTGCAAAATTGTATAAGAAAAACACTTTTTTCAAAATTTTTGGACTTTTTCATTTACTTAGCAAAAAAAATCCCAGTGGTGAGTAAATACCACCAAAATAAAGCTTTATCTGTCTCAAGAAAATGGTAAAAAATTCACATGGATACAGTGTTGCATGACCGCGCAATTGTCATTCAAAGTGTGATAGCGCTGAGAGCTGAAAATTGCCTGGACAGGAAGGGGGTGTGTCCGGACAGGAAGTGGTTAAAACACATGGTGGTGAATACTGATTGTGTGTAATGGGTTAACATTAAAACACTCTCTGCTGGTACTTAGATTGTTGTCCCGTGAGCTGGAAAATATATGCAAAGGGTGATCCTAAGAGTGCAATCATCACATTATGGTGGCAGAAGTGAGATCTGAAAATGCAACCGTCACTTTCTGGTGGCAGTGTTGGGATCTAAGACTGTTGTCATCACATCTGTTACCAACCTGTGAATCACCATCATGCTGATTCACAGGTTCATTATTAATACATAAAGCAGCCAGGAAATGGAACATTGAGGTAAGAAATGTACAGTAGTACAGTGAAGATGGGCCTATCACAAAAATAGTGGACCTTTCAGTAAGTCTGCATTAAAGTGATTGTAAACTCTTATGTATACCCAGCGAAGTGACTGGCCTCAGATGATACACAGTGAGATGAAACACATCTTCCTACATAAGTTGTACCTGTTTATCTGCAATATTCTCTTTTCTAAATCCATGCAAAGAGTACAGTTTACACAGCATCTCTGAGCTGTAGAAGGCAGAGCGTAGTGATCTGATGTCACACACTGCACAGTTCAGAGAGGAAAGCTGAGTGTAACCTGAAACTAAAGGGGCGGAAATAGACACACACCCTCCACACAGATCATAGGGAACATACACAGCTGGGGGTGTCAATCACAGGCTATGTGCCCTCTCCCATCCCCTGGGATTCTATGGTGCCAGCATTACCTTTCAGGTACCTTTCCTCATGCAGATAGCAGAGGGAATAGGCAGCAGACAGAAATCACACAAAGTGCTTTAGATAGAAGCAAGTACACACTATGCAGGAATATGCTTTGTTCATTTTTCATTTCAGAGGTTTACATCCACTTTAATAAAGTCCAGTAACATTATACAGCAAACGTATTTATTGTCAACTCCAGTCAACTCCTGTCATTAGTCTGCTGCAGACAGGAAGAAGCATTTCCAAAGTCTTCTCTTTCCCAGAGAGTGTCCTCTCTGAACCAGCTTTCCAGTTCCGGCAGTAGATGCTAACCATTAGTGATGTCTAGACAAAGATGGCACAATCCTCCTTATAGGACAGGGGCCTCCAAACTTTTAAAAGAAAGGTCCAGTTTACTGTCCTTCAGACTTTAGGGGGTCCGGGCTGAGCCCAGTGGGAATAAACAATGCCCGATCTTTGATATTAGGGGGAGAAATGGCATCAGTGGGAGAATAGTGCCCCCGTTTTGTTGTCAGTGGCAGGAATTATGCCCCATTGTTGGTGTCAGTGGCAGGAATAATGGCTCAAGGGCTGGATAAAGGCAAGCATAGGGCCACATCTGGCCCCAGGGCCACAGTTTGGCGGCCACTGTTATAGGAAAAGTAGATGAAGTCATTACCAGGGGGATTATTATGATCTGTTGTGTTAAACTTAGTCATTCCCTAGCATACATGTTTATCATGACCAAATACACTATATTGCCAAAAGTATTGGTCGGCCGGCCTTTACACGCACATGAACTTTAATGGCATCCCAGTCTTAGTCTGTAGGGTTCAATACTGAATTGGCCCCGCCCTTTACAGCTATAACAGATCCAACTCTTCTGGGAAGGCCGTCCACAAGGTTTAGGAGGGTGTCTATGGGAAGGTTTGACCATTCTTTCAGAAGCACATTTGTGAGGTCAGGCACTGATGTCGGGCGAGAAGGCCTGGCTCACAGTCTCCGCTCTAATTCATCCCAAAGGTGTTCAATTGGGTTGAGGTCAGGACTCTGTGCAGGCCAGCCAAGTTCCTCCACCCCAAACTCACTCATCCATGTCTTTATGGACCTTGCTTTGTGCACTGGTGCGCAGTCATGTTGGAACAGGAAGGGGCCATCCCCAAACTCTTCCCACAAAGTTGGGAGCATGAAATTGTCCAAAATGTCTTGTTCTGCTGACGTCTTAAGAGTTCCCTTCAATGGAACTAGGGGGCCAAGCCCAACCCCTGAAAAACAGATCCACACCATAATCCCCCCTCCACCAAATTTTACATTTGGCACAATGCAGTCAGGCAAGTACCATTCTCCTGGCAACTGCCAAACCCAGACACATCCATCAGATTGCCAGACAGAGAAGCGTGATTCGTCACTCCAGAGAACACATCTCCACTGCTCTAGAGTCCAGTTGCGGTGTGCTTTACACCACTGCATCCAACGCGTTGCGTTGCATTTGGTGATGTAAGGCTTGGATGCAGCTGCTCGGCCATGGAAACCCATTCCATGAAGTTCTCTATGCACTGTTGTTGTGCTAATCTGAAGGCCACACCAAGTTTGGAGGTCTTTAGCTATTGACTCTGCAGACAGTTGGCGGCTTCTGTGCACTGTGCGCTTCAGCATGCACTGACCCACATTTTATGTGTCCTACCACTTCGTGGCTGAGTTGCTGGTGTTCCCAGTTGTTCCACTTTGTTATAATACCACTAACAGCTGACCATGAAATATTTAGTAGCCAGGAAATGTCACGGATGGACTTATTGCACAGGTGACAACCTATCACGGGACCACGCTTGGAGTCACTGAGCTCCTGAGAGCGACCCATTCTTTCACCAATGTTTGTAGAAGCAGTCTGCATGCCTAGGGGCTTGATTGTATACACCTGTGTCCATGGAGGGGATTGGAACACCTGAATCCAATGATTTGGCAATATAGTGTATATCTGATGCTAGGTCCACTTTGCCTTTAAAAAAAAAATTGGCAGTTAAAAGATTTCCTGTGTAAGTATTCCAAATCAGTATTTAACTGTTTGGCTGGAGTTAGCCTCAAACGGCTATGAAGATTATTTTTAGAACGTTAACACAAATGTTGATAAAAAAATTAGCTGCTCACATTGACATATGTATATATAAAACAAGGAAAAAAAACAGTATTGATTCTCTTTAGTCTACAATAACCAAAGAAATTTACTTTGAGGGATCTTACACGACGCTTTCAGCCAAGGAAGGAAACAACGTATTGAAATCATCTTGGGGCTTAAGTGCTTTTGCATAAGGAATCAATCCTAATAATATTTAGAGATTTTATTTTCCGTCAGTTGGTTTCAAGTTTTATCAACAGCAGAAAATTCTTGCTTGAAAATAGAGATGTTTTTTTTTTTTTTCACTTTTATTTTTGCCACATTAAATGCATTATACTAAAGCCTCTTCACTTGGATTTTACCTTATTATTACCGTAATCAGAACAACACCTACACAGCATAATGAGTAGTCATTATAAACAAAGTCAAACGTACGTGGGTGATAAGTTTTTCTGTCTTTCACCAAACCTCTCATGATATTTGCGTGTTACTTTGTTTTTCCTACAATATAAGCACAATTTTGTGGCATGTCTAACACAAGAATGTGTTTCTGTATCTAGAAAAAGCATTTATAATCACATCATCAGCGCTTGTCATAGGTCCGAAAATATGGCAGGATGAAGCTGCAGCAGTCCTCTTTAGGACTGGAGTATTTTGTGGTTTTTTTATAGGAGTAATTATTAAAGCGGTTCTAAAGCCTGGAGATTTGGTATTGTAATGCATTTCCCGCGTTTAGGTTAACCACTTGCCAGGGGCGGACTGACAACTCATGGGGCCCCCAGGCAATAGGGGATCATGGGGCCCCTGTGTCTTTGCCCAAACTCAAAAAAGCCTGTTAAAAAGGTACCAGGGGCATCTCATGGGGCCCCCTACTGACCCCAGGCCCTTGGGCAGTGCCTGAGTTTCCAAATGGTCAGTCCGCCCCTGTCACTTGCCTACCGGACACTTCTGCCCCCTTCCTACCCAGTCCAATTTTCAGCTTTCAGCACTGTTGCACTTTGAATGACAATTGTATGGTCATGCAACATTGTACCCATATGAAACTTTTATCATTTTTTTCATACACATAGAGCTTTCTTTTGGTGGTATTTAATCACCACTGTGGGGTTTATTTTTTGCACTATAAATGAAAAAAGAGCAAAAAATTTGAGAAAAAAGGTTTTCTTTGTTTCTATTATAATATTTTGCAAACAGGTACTTTTTCTCCTTCACTGAAGATGCATTGATGAGGCTGCACTGATGAGGCGTGGCTGATGAAGCGGCACTGGTGGGCATTGATGAGGAAACACTGATGATGCACTGATATGCAGCATTGATGGGCAATGATAGGCGGCACTGATGGGCACTGATAGGCGGCACTGATGGGTGGCACTGACTGGCAGCACTGACTGATAGCACTGACTAGAGGCACTGACAGACGGCACTGATGGGCGGCACTGATGGGCACTGACAGACGGCACTGCTGGGCAGCACTGATGGATGACACTGCTGGGCAGCACTGATGAACGATACTGCTGGGCACTGATGGGTGGTGCTACTGGGCACCTGTGGGTGACACTGCTGGACAGCACTGATGGGCGGCACTGCTGGGCACCTGTGGGTGACACTGCTGGGCACTGATGGGCGGCACTGATGAGTGACTGATGGGCACATATGGGCGGCATTTCTGGGCAGCACTGATATTCAGGGCACTGATAATCAGTGCCCTGATTATCAGTGCAGATCTCTCCTGTCACATCTGCCGGTTATCGGCAGTACTTTCTTCATGCTGTGACAGTGTGAAGAAAGTGCAGCCGATAACCAGCAACCTTATTTACATTGTGATCTGCTGTGTGATTGGACACAGCTATTCACATGGTAAAAGACCGCTGTGATTGGCCTTTTACCTTATCACGTGATCAGCTGTGTCCATAGGACACAGCGATCACCGCCGGCACCGGGTACGTGCCTCTGGGGGCACGCAGGGGGGCGGTTTCTGGGAGAACGTCCATAGATGCCCTCCCAGAACTAGACAACCATCCTGTAGCTGTCTTTCAGCTATAGGGCAGTTGGGGAGCAGTTAAGAAAGTCCCAGTATTTGTATTTCCCTCTCACACCCCCCCCCCCCCCCTTAGTCCTCATGCACACAGGACATTTTTACAGCGGCTGTTTTTGTCTTTTGGAATTTTTTTCTACAGCCAGTAAACTCCCCAGCATGTTATCCTATGTGTCCATAGGCTTTAATCAGTGTTTTTTGTCAGGGGCGTTTTTTGGCTGGAAAAAAACCAGAACTAGTGAGTTTCTAGAGTTTTTTAACTGTGAAAACACGGTAAAACGCTGCATAACCAGCATTTTATAAAAAATTTGATTCATTTTTTTCGTAAAAAAAAACACTAAAAAATGCAATTGCAGAAACGCTGCTAACACAGCTAAAAGCTAAACCAACATTTTGGTGGGGTTTTTTTAGTAAAACTTTTTTGTGTAAGAAATGCAAACACGTAAAAATGTGGCTAAACACAGCTAAACGCAGCTGAACACAGCTAAACACTAATGAAAAACCGCTGAAAAACTTGCGTTTTTAACACGACTTTAGATAGCTAACGCTTCCAGAAGTATTAAAAGCCCCAGTCTGCATGGAGCCTTATACTTACCTATCTTGAGCCAGAGCTGTGCTCGTCTGTAGTGGCTCTCTCCTCTCTGCGCACAGAGGCAGCAGTGGAAGCCATTGGCTCCATCTGCTGTCAGTCTATTTCTGTGACAGAATTTGTCAATAGACAACTGGGAATCAAGTCTGCAGGTGTCCCCCATAAAAAACAGTTTGTTATGGTGGCACACCGAGAAGAGGAGGAGCCAAGACCGTCAGCAAAGGACCCCAGAAGATGTTCAAAACAATTTTGTGCAAAACCATCACACAGAGTAGGTACCTAAAACATATTTGCATGGAAAATATAAAATCAACAAAACATGAAACTTCTTTTAATTTGCAAAAATAAGTGCCATAAGATCCCACCAGCACCAATATTAAAGACAATCAGTGTCAGGCATGGACTGTATCTGTGTCTGGCAGTGGCAGGGTGACAGTTGCAGTGAGTGGAGGCTGATGGATCCACGCTCTGACAGATCCCAGGCTGGAATTCGCAAGGAATTGGGGGAAGATAAAACGCTGTGACAGCAGGCAGCCCAGCCCCCACACACACAGAGAACACCTGAACTGAGCGATCCCACACAGTGAGAGATACGACACAACACACCACCACCAACACTGACACAGATCAGCAGGCCCAGATGGCACTAGAAGAGCAGGTTGTAGGACCGTGATGATGTCATCACTCACTTACACATTGCACATGTGATGGATGGCCGGCTGGGTCTCACTCACACGAGACATCAAAGTCAGACATTACCTTCCTTTGCAGGCGTAGCTCCGCCTCTGCTGATGAATGGAAAGAGAAGGGCTGGAACTCCACAGTGATCATCAGCCGCCAGCCAGCTTGCAGTAAGAGACTGAGTCCGAGAGGAACACTGGAAGAAGCGCCAGCTCAGCTGCTGCACTGGTCTCAGACAACTGGCATCTTCCCCTGTCCTTTCTTTCTCCCCTCTGCCCTCCCTCCTCTCAGCTGAAGGATTATTCATGAAGTGGCAGTGTCCCACACAGTGAAAGTGCTGGACTGCACTGCGCCCAGGTGCCCCTAGGTGGCCACCTAGTTTGCCTAGTGGAAGCACCTAACCTGGTTATACTGTTCTGTGCAGTGATGTCCCTGCCCCTTATGCAAATATACTAGCATATGACATAGTAAGCGGGAGGTGTGGAAAGCCTTTGCCCTCTGAGTTTTTCTGCTAGCAGAGCTGAAGCCAAGAAATCAAAGAGAACCCAAGTCCTGCTGCTATGCATGTCTGTTGAACAAGACACAAGACACAGAGTTTTTCAAGTGAGCATGCATGCAGAATTTTTAACTTGCAGTTTTAGAATGTTTCCTAAAAAAAAAATCAGTTTTGCTTTAAAGTCCAACTCCACCTTTTTTAAAAAATCCCTTGGTAAATGCCCCTTTTCCTGCAGTCCTTTGTCATGGGTCCTTTCTCTTCTGCTCCAGTGGTGGCAGTCAGTGGTCCTTCCTCCTGGACATTGAAGCATAGCTCTTAACTGTCCCTGATTTCGTGATGGGTCTGTCTCCAGACCTAAACCCTATTGAGCATCTGTGGGGCATCCTCAAACAGAAGGTGGAGGAGCCAGGGGCAGACTGACAACTCATGGGGCCCCCGAGCAATAGGGGATCTTGGGGCCCCTGTGTCCTTGCCCACACTCAAAGCACACCCATAAAAGCCTATAAAAAGGTACCAGGGGCATTTCATGGGGCCCCCTACTGACCCTGGGCCCTCGGGCAGTGCCTGAGTGCTAGAATGGTCAGTCCGCCCCTGGGAGAAGTGCAAGGTCTCTAACATCCACCAGCTCCGTGATGTCATCATGGAGAAGTGGAAGAGGACTCCAGTGGCAACCTGTGAAGTTCTGGTGAACTCCATGCCCAAGAGGGTTAAGGCAGTGTTGGAAAATAATGGCGGCCACACAAAATATTGACACGTTGGACCCAATTTGGACATTTTCACTTAGTGGTGTACTCACTTTTAGACATTAATGGCTGTGTTGAGTTATTTTGAGGGGACAGCAAATTTACACTGTTATACAAGCTGTACACTCACTACCTCACATTGTAGCAAAGTGTCATTTTTTTAGTGTTGTCACATGAAAAGTTAGCATACTAAACTAGAAAAGCTACAATTTCTGGGGAAATTGTGTGGTGTTCTTGCCTCCACCAGTAGTCTACAACTGGAGTGGGCGGAGTAACTGGGTGGAGTAGCTTGTCATTCTGCTGCCTGCTCACACACCTGGGTTCCTATGGCAACTCACTCTACAGCAAGGGCAGAGAAGAGCGGTTAAAAACGAACTGCTCCAACTTGCTCACTTCACTGGCGGTTGCCATTTCCAAACGGTTGTAGTTTAAAAATTATAAATCCTATACCAAAGAGCTTTATATTGTGAGAATCACAAGACCCAGACCTACATTTTGATGCATAGTATGCCTCTGAAATATTAAAAATTAAGGCACAGTCGCAGTTTAGATGTTGCCCTTCCAATTTGAGGTGGCTAGAGTGGAGTTTTAATGAATGTCAATGGGCGGCGGCGTGAGTTGCAAACAAATGGTCATATTGTGAAAACTATCAGGACTATGGCTTAGCCGTGGACATTTTTAGTGGCAGCAGGGATAGCTGAACGTTTTGATATAAGATTTGTGTAGGTGGGCTTGAAAATGAAAGAGTGATGGCAGTGTAGAAATCATGTCCTGATTTTTCAGCTCACACTCTAGCTTTTGTCAGCTCACACTCTAGTTTTGAACATTCCGCCATTCATTCCTATGGGACCAATTTCACCACAAAAACGCCGATATTTCGTGAACCATTCGGCAAAACGTTCCATAAAGTAATAGCACACCAATCGGGAACAATCCGCACGGTTCGGTACTGTCTATGTAGTGTAAAAACTGTGGGAGGAGTTAGGGTGGTAAATTTGGCTATAATAATAAGAATATATATGTGAGATAACAGTAAGTGGTCTTGCCATGCAAGAACACTTAAATATAAACTGCTAAATACCTTTTCTCATCAGTAGTTAGAGCAGTCCTGTGGCTTCTATCTGTATTCAGCCAAGCACTAGCTAAAGCTGGTTTGAGTTTTCCTTCTGCACTAGGAGGATGCAGAACCCCTGACCTCTGTCTGGACAGTGCTGATTGGCTCTGTGCTGATCACATGCACTCACCCAAGGAAAAAAAAGACGATCTAGTGATACACACCAAACTGAGCATGTGCAGCTTGCCTCCAAGGCTCTGTTCTATCAGCAGATGGATTGGGAACAGTAGGGGGTCAAATACATTTGATACGCCTTTTCTGAGCACAGTGTGGGGTGACACACCACTTGAAGAGTATCCAGTTACTCTATAGAAGATTTTCACAAGGAGATGGGACTTTCATAGGTTATATATTTATTTTATGAACATTACATTTATTTATTTATTTATGAGCACAAAATATGTACAGTTATGAATTGTTCATCTTGTTGATTTTTTGTGAGATACATATTTTGTTTGTTTGGTATTTACTTTTTTTTAGCGCTACCCTGTTTTCTGGTTATATCAGTCTATTCTGAACTCAGCAGCTAGACTCATCCACCTCACCAACCGCTCCACCTCTGCCACCCCCCTCTGCCAATCCCTTCACTGGCTCCCGATTGCCCAACGCATCAAATTCAAATGACTAACTCTGACCTACAAAGCCATTCACAACGCCACCCCAAACTACCTAACTGACCTGATACCCAAATTCCACCCTACCCGTACCCTTCGCTCCTCACAGGACCTCCTACTCTCTAGCTCCCTGGTCTCCTCCTCCCACGCCCGATTGCAGGACTTCTCCAGGACTTCCCCCATCCTTTGGAACTCCCTACCCCAATCCATCAGACTGTCACCTACCCTCCTCACCTTCAGGTGCACCCTGAAAACCCATCTCTTCAGGGAAGCCTACCCCACCCTCACCTAACAACCAATCTCCTGCACTCCTCCCACCACTCCATCCCCCACAGCCACTTCCTCCTGTACCACCTTCCCCTCCCTCCTAGATTGTAAGCTCGCGAAAGAGCAGGGCCCTCAATCCCCTCGTGTATTGTATTGTTACTGTCTTGTCTCATGTTCTGTCCCCCTTGCTATTGTCAGCGCTGAGCAAACCCTTTGGCGCTATATAAATACTGTATAATAATAATAATAATATCTATTTATGCCAGAATATACATTTACATAATTCTCTGTATGACCTGTTGAAAAAAAAAAAAAAAAAAACTCTTGCAATACACACCAAACTGAGCATGTGCAAAATGCCTACTGTTCAGTCTGTCTTATCAGGAGATGAGAGGTGGTCGCTTAAAGAAGGGGAGGAACAGAGCAATCAGGAATAAGTGGCCTTTTTACACAATGCAGAGGATTAACCCCTTAGGTTCCACAGTGAGTATAACAAGCATGTTTTACTGCATATACAGACTGATTGTACTGTTGTGGGTTTATTAAGACTTTAAATCTGTAGGTTAAACTCACAGTCACATAAAAGCCACTATAGTGTAGTATGTTTTAAACCACAATTCCTTTTAAAAACATAACACTCACATTTCGTATAGAACAGTGGTGGGCAACCTTTTTTTTCAACTGAGCCAAATCTCGCCAAAACCACGATTGAAATTTATTTTGAGAGCCACATTTTTAAAACTGAAAATACATCCCCCATATAGTAATTCATCCCCCATAGTAATTCATCGCCCATAGTAATTCATCCCCCATATAGTAATTCATCCCCCATAGTAATTCATCCCCCATATAGTAATTCATCCCCCATAGTAATTCATCCCCCATATAGTAATTCATCCCCCATAGTAATTCATCCCCCATATAGTAATTCATCCCCCATATAGTAATTCATCCCCCATAGTAATTCATCCCCCCTATAGTAATTCATCCCCCATAGTAATTCATCCCCCATATAGTAATTCATACCCCATAGTAATTCATCCCCCATATAGTAATTCATCCCCCATAGTAATTCATCCCCCATATAGTAATTCATCCCCCATAGTAATACATCCCCCATATAGTAATTCATCCCCCATATAGTAATTCATCCCCCATAGTAATTAATCCCCCATATAGTAATTCATCCCCCATAGTAATTCATCCCCCATAGTAATTCATCCCCCATATAGTAATTCACCCCCCCCATAGTAATTCATCCCCCATAGTAATTCATCCCCCATATAGTAATTCATCCCCCATAGTAATTCATCCCCCATATAGTAATTCATCCCCCATAGTAATTCATCCCCCATATAGTAATTCATCCCCCATATAGTAATTCGTCCCCCATATAGTAATTCATCCCCCATAGTAATTCATCCCCCATAGTAATTCATCCCCCCTATAGTAATTCATCCCCCATATTGTGTCAATTCACTTACCTTTGCTCCGCGCGTTCCTCTCGCCGTGTTCCCGCGCCGTTCCGGTCTTCAGGGCGGACTGTGAGAGGAGAGGAGTTTGTCACGCTGCCCCGCCTACATCCTGACAGCCAATGTTTGCCACGCTCCGTGGGCCGGATTAAAAGATCCGCCGGGCCGTAGTTTGCCCATTGCTGGGCTAGCTGCAGAGTCCTGACTTTTGGGGCGGCCGCCCGAGAGGAGGGAGGGGAGCGGGCGCCTGGCACACAGAAGAGCCGCATTGAAGTGTGTAAAGAGCTGCATGTGGCTCGCGAGCCGCGGCTTGCCGACCACTGGTATAGAAGCAATCACATGGTAAGAACAACAATAGGCTCTGGATCGCAAACACTCGGCGTCCTGCCTCACTACTACTATCCCGGCTCACTGGCTCCTCCACACCAGAGCTGCTTTTTTATTTTCAAACATGCAGCCATGTGTTTTGCTCATACCTCTGCTGCACATACTGGAAATCCCAATAAATGTTGTCAGTCCAGAGCACCAACCCCTTATATCATGGAGGGATGGAAAGGGATAGGTGACCTGAAGTCCAACAACGGAGAACTCAAGCAGATCTCAGAACCCTTTTCAGTGCAGCAGAGGCAGCGTTCTCAGCTCACTACAGGAATTTAGTATCTCACCCTATTTCCAGCTGGATCAACAAGTATTTTTCTGTAATTGCAACATTTTTTAAAGAAAAAGGGGGAAATGTGCATGTATTGCAGAGATGTACTGATTTTTTTTTTTTTTTTTGCTTAGATATACACTTTGAGGCTTAGTCATCAGGAGGTTAAAAAAAGAACCTTTTACAAAAAGAAAACCAATGTGGGCTTGATCACACATCACACATTGGAAAATGCTGGGTTAATGAGGGCTTTGTGTTTTTGATGTGGTTTAATGCGGTGATCTGTTTTTAAGTACTCCGTTTATTTGACTCAAATAGAACATGCCGAGAAAACAATGCTGTGAGCTAATAGAAATATGGGAACCATTACTGCTGACGTGTTTTTTTTTAGGAGTACACTTCAGTCAAAACTAAAAATGAAAATGTGAAAATTGTTCGAGATTCTATATATAGCCCTACAGAACAGACAGTCCACAGTCCACATGTGTTTATTTGCTGCTTTTTTGCAAACAGGAAACAGGAACTTTATTTTAGAGAAAAGACATAGAGTTTAACTATAGATGCAGCTACAATCTTATAAACACTGCCATCTACTGGTTGAAGAATATATCTCTACTGAATACTGATGTGTAGTACAAAATACATGAACATTATATTCCAACAGAAATGCATACTGGGAGCACAGCTTACTTGCTCAATACCCGGCATTGCTGTACTGCACTAGTCCACCCTACCCCTAAT